GCCCGGAAGACCCACCCCAGCCATCGTATGCCGGCCGTGAAAGCCTTCGACAATACATATTAAAAGACTGTAACACTTACCAAAACTGTATTTCAGGTGGTTTATTTATTTTTTAAATAGAATAAATGAAGATAAAATGTAAAAACATTAATGACTATATATTGCTTGATTTCATTTTTTGAGGTCCGTGTATATCTTCTGGATTCTGTAAATTCTGTAAATACAGCATGTTCTGTTGACTTGCTCCATTGTTTCCATGTGAGTCAGAGTCAAAGAACAATGGAGAAAATTTTTTCAGAATTTAAGGCATATAATTATTGTAGTAAAAATCTTACACTTCTTAATTCCATTCTGCAACTTCCATCTTCCAGTCCCTGAAATGCTTCTCCATTTCATGTCTAGCTTTCCAATTTCCTACATTTACAGTAGGAACAATTTTCTGAGGTTTCAACCACTGAATAAATCGTTTCATTTCAAGGAAACTGCTGTGCTCACTGTAAGGAATCCCTGCATATAAAACAACATAGAAAAATAGACAGTATGAGCAGCTGAAATTTAGCATAACATGCTTTGCTAAACTTGAAACCAATGTTTTAACTAAATTTCAGTATAATCTACATACTGAGCATCAAGCTAAATTCTGCAGAAAATTACCTAGCTTTTATCTTTACAGTTAATTCTGCTTCAGATTAAATTATTTTTTGGTTTAATTTAATAATTTATTGCACCTATCAGAATGCTGAAACAGCAGTAGCAGGAAACACTGGAAATAACAAAATACATTATGAACAGTGAAAGACCATGAAAGAAATACTGTTTCCTCAAGAAATGTTATTGGTTATGTAATGTGGAACAATCTAAACATCTGCCTATCTACTCCATTATTAAAGTACGTATGACAAATAATATGGTTCTATCTCTGATCAATGTAAAGAGATATTCTGAGATGCATACAGTTAATCCTGTTCGAAAAATTACAGTTGTAATTTCTTCTGCCGTTCCTTCTTCTGGATGTTTTCTATCCCTATCCTCAAGTCTGACTTCAAACACTTTTTAGTATTAATATCATATGAAAGGATTGATTTATTCTGGTTAAAATAAATTGAAATCTTGAAATGTAAGTTTTGACAGACTTCTAAATGACATCTTCTTCCCGGGTAGTCTTTCACACTGAAACAGGGGACACCTAGTCCTCTACAGCATTTTTTCAGGAAGCATAGGGAGGAAGATGGGGAGAAAAGGTATTATAATAATGAAAATAAAATTCTCTACTTCTTCCTCTAGTGCAAGTTGATTTTTATGAAGTGTCGCTCTGAATCCAAGCCTATAGCTGGGAAGGAAAACGGACTTCCTCCATCCCTAATTTTTATGCCCTCTAAATGTTTTACAAAAGATGAGATACAACACCCTCTATTTATTTTACATCTCTTTAACTTCTAGACCAGCTCCTGGCTTATTTGTTTCCAACCTGTAATGGAAAAACTAACAGAAGATAATTAAGCATATTAAATAATTTGAAATTATGTTACCATATATAGTGATATTTCCTCTTGTCTGAGGTTGGATATCACTCAGAGAACAACATCCATCTGAATATGTCCACCCGGTGGGCTTAAAAGCCAAAATATGATCAAAATTCTCAGAGAACTTATTCAAATGATTCTGCAAATTCTACAGACAGAAAATAATACCTGGTTATGTCAAATTTAAAATAAATATCTTTTAGATAAGAGTTTTCTAATAAGGATAATGACAATACATTTTGTGGATATTGTTAATATGCAAGGATAAAAACTTTTAAAAGAAAAGGGAGAACTATTACAGTTTTATAAATTTTCAGCATTCCTGCTGTGAACACAAACACCAAATAATGATCAGAGTTTCATCTATATGCTCTGAATTACCATTTGGAGGAAATTCATGATGAACTGTCAGAATATTAATTCAGGATTTTCCACTAGTAGTTCATTAGAGAATTTGAAAATGGTGCAGTGAGTTTCAAAAAATATGTCACAATTAAAAAAAAAACACAATGACACAAATTGACCAATAAATACTGTTAAATCAGCAGTATCCAGTAAAAAGACCAACAGGAAACCAGATCATATATTCTATTTAGTACAGAGACAAACTTCATAACTACTTGAAATATTCCTTAAGCAAATACAAAGCAGTATATGTGCTATTTAGCTGCAATGTTTACTTTTAATACACAATTCTATGCAATACTTAGCCATATACTTTAACTTAAAGATAAAGAACTAACTGTAAATTATTTAACTGTTCAAACTGGAATAACTTTGGTTTTCCCACTGAAATCAGTGGGACTACCGTGACTTCGGAGTAAACATATTTCAGATTAGCCTGTAAGGATTCAGCCTTGCAATCACCAGGTTTCTGAAAGTTAATGGTATATTTTATGAAAATCTAATTATATATTGTGGTGAAACGTTTACTTTAAATAAATTCTCAACTTGGCTTCTGCAAGATATGAAATTCCTTGGAAAGCAAAAGAAACATAGCAACATCATACCTAAAACTAGAAGAAATAATTACATTGACCTAAAGTCTTTGAACAAATGCCATCTTGCTTGCATCATAAACTTTTATTAAACAGAGATTACATAGATCATGTAAATTATACTGGGTCTTATTTACAGCAATTGTAAGGAAGAATTAATATATTAAAGTAAAATGATAAACTTCTATGACTCTTCTTATTCAGGGATTCAACTTTAAATCTTACCTTAAAATTAATTTGCATCATAGGCAGAAGATGTAGCAAGGTATTATTCCAGTTCAAAGTGATGAGGGAATTTATTGTTGCCGATTCCAAGCATTGTAGGGTTTTGTATTTCTCCTGAGACATGCTTGCTTTTGAGCCCAAAACTTCAGCTATAGCTGCAGGGTTAGGACAAAAGGTGACACCGTGAAAATGGAAGAAGGAAAAAATAATATAAGGTTACTTTTTATATTTCTTTCACTTAAGATAACCTCCTAAAGGTACTATTTGCCTATATGTTTACACAAAATTACACATCATCTTCTGATTACTCATAAAATTATACTAATCCAATAGGGGTGGAGAGGATTCACAGGGAGTTTGACTAAATTAGTAAAACATTCCTCCAGTCTGACCATCTGCTCTTCCTGTCTGCCAGTTCATCAAACTGTATGAAGATGGGCAATAAACAAACTGTGACAAAGTCAGTTTTTTTTTCATATTGAGGCTTCAGGATTCACCTTCAGATTTTAAATAAAGAATAGCTAAGGTATAAGTGAAAGGTTCAGACAGAAGCTGACAGCTTTTATGTTGTTTTTGAGGGTACCAAACCTTTCTTTAACGTATTTTTAAAAATCATTCAAATTACTAATTTATTCAAAGTACTAATTTATTCTTTCTTGTTCAACTATAAAAAATTTTGAGGGTACCAAACCTTTAACATATTTTTAAAAATCATTCAAATTGCACTAATTTATTCTTTCTTGTTCAACTAAAAATATCTACTTGCCTGCTTAAGAATAGTAATAGAACAGACCATGAAGGGTTCCAAAAGTGGCTAAAAGATTCATTTAGTTCCAGATAATAATTTTTAGGAAGACCGACATGTATGTTTCAACTCTTTCCAACTTAGCATGGAAATAAATTACATTGCATTTGGAAAGTTACCCCACATACCAAGAAGCTGAGGTTAAAAGCTGAAAAAGTCCCTTACATTTACAAGGCTATTAATATCACCAGAGCATTTGTAAATTATAACATTATTAAAATGGGGCAACAATCACCAGTCAGTTCATGTCATACACTGCTTTGTCTCTGCACTCTTTGCCAAGAAGTCTAATGTGTTTTAGAGCTACGGTATTTTTGTGAAAGTAACGTGTAGAAACATGAAATTAAATTGTGCTGAATGTTGGGTTTAGCTCAAATATATGGCATACAGTATCTTTGTAGTTCTAACTAGAAGAGTCTCTCCTTTACCTAGAAAGACTTTTTCTTTTCCAACAGAATATGTTCCACAAACAACTAATGTTCGTGGGTTTACAGTCACTCTTTCAAAGGCAGTACTGACAGCAAATTGAATCACTTCTTGCTGCGAAGGAAAAGTGTATTCAGGACTACAATATCTAAGAAAAAGAAACAAAAGACATGTTAGAAAACTCAGCTTTGATGGAAAAAAAGGAAATAAACCTTTATCGAATGGTTTCCACTTGCTCTACAGGTAGTCCTTGCTAAACAACCATTTGCTTATGACAGTTCAAAGTTACAACAGCCTTGGAAAAAGTGCTTTACAACCTGTACTCACACTTACAACCATCGCAAACTGTTGCACCACCCCCTGTGGTCACATGATTGCGATTTGTGACTTTTTTACAATGGTTGTTAAGTGAATCACATTGGCGTTAAGCAAATTCCAGCAAAAAAAGTCCATTAACAACCATGTGATTTGTTTATTGGCCACATGACTTGCTTAACATCCACAGTCATTTGCTTAATGACAGTCGTAAAAATGGTTATAATATCAGTCCCAGACACATGACTTGCTTAATGACCACCTCACTTAACAACCAACTTTCTAGTCCCTATTATGGTCATTAAGTGAGGACTACCTGTATTTACAGGAACAGATAAATATATCATGAAGATATATCAAGATAAAATTTAATGAATTTTATCAAATTCAAAGGGATGACAATAAGCCAAGGTTAAAGTTTCTAGTATAAGGAACAACTAGTACACTTGCACCAGTTGTTACAGCTCCACTGCCAATATACAAACATGTGGAACACAACAATCATACTTCTGCGGGGGGAGGGGATTAAATGTAAAAGTCCCTTCCAATCTTCTTTATTTTGTATATTTCTTGTGATAAAAAGAACCTTTGAGACTAGTACAAATACATTCATTTTTCTACAAAATGAGCTAATTACCTAGTACTTAATCTAACATTAGTGAGAGATGTATAGGTAACTGCTTTGGATACAATTTTTAAATCAGTCCATAATTTGTTCAATGTGCTTTTTTTATCCATAAGTGCTAACAAATATGCCGTTGTCTCAATTAGTAGGACACAACTGACTTGTGCATAAGAAATTATACAACTGCCAGAGCAGGATGATATTACTTTCAGTGACATAATCTATACCAAAAGAATACTATTAGTTAGTTACAAATTATTGGATGGGTGAAAACTAATTAGTTGGTATTACGATGATCCAGGAATATCAAGAGTGATACGGGAGG